GAGTCTCATTCTGTGAATTAAGACAGAACCCAAATTAATTTTCGCTCATCTTTGGCAAACATTTCAATGAGTAAATTATCTTGAATATACAGTAAGTGTATCATAAAATCAAATGTGTAAACTGAAACTGTAAAAAGTAAAAACTCAGTAAATTAAGGCTATATTGAACAGTAATCTGAGTACTAACTATGTGTATGCTTAAAATGAATTTAAACAATATTATTTCACAAAATACTTGTAGTATGGTTACATCTCAAGGATGAAGTGGTTGCAAAACTTGCTTTGGCTATGAGTTCAAGATATAAACCTTACGAACACTGTCCACGCAATTCTCCATTCTGTCAATGAACATTTTAAACCACATTAATAGAATGAGCTTTGTAAATGTTATGCATTTGGACAAGTGAATTTTCTTGAAGAGTAAAGTTTCATCAATTGTAATGTGTAAATGCAACCTGCAAGAAAAGTTACTGAAAAGGAACTGAGTAAATATTAAAGGTTTGTCTGGGACCCTTATTGTAAAACTCAATTAAACAGTAATTCATTGTTAAAGTTAAAATTATTCAGTTGTCCCATTAAGGAATAATGCATTTCAAGAATGAATGATCTTAAAAAGTTTCTCAAATCTTTGTTATAAAAGGAGGCAGCATATATACACCATGTACAGCAAGTTCCATGTAAGGAACAAAGAATCTTAAGTGAGTTTACGAAAATTTGGTTTTGTCCCTGGCTTCAGGCTTCAGGCCTCTGTCCCATGCCACTCCAGTGCAATATTGGTTCAAGACACCAAACCCTATCACACAAGGCCAATGGATGGTTGGAGTATTTTCACTGGGTTTGAATGTGTTACACATCAAATTTGGGGCTAGAGATAAAGTGGAAGCCATATGTGAAGCCAGGGTTTCATAAACACCACACAAAGTTGTTAAGTATTGGATAGCTCGTACTGGGTGGGGAAAATGTGTTGGGGTGGGGAGGTGGGGGTTCACTAAATTTAAACAGCTCAGCACCCGCTAAAGTCCCTTATATAGCTCAAACTATTTCGTCAAATTGTGCCCTGAAATCGCTTGTACCGTAATTTGATACCTAATGATGTCTTGATGACGTAACAAAATTTATAACATCTTTGTAATATGGTACAAGCAGTGTTGCTTGTAGTACTCGTACTCAGTAGTCGTATGAGTACTTTTTTTTGGAGTACCGTATTTGTACTCGTACTCATACTCGTATGTCAAAATACTCGTACTCGATATGACGGTACTCAAATGGAGCAGCAAAGTACTCGTACTAGCACATGTCAAAATTGTACTCGCTCACTCAAATATAGTTTCCAATCATAAAATTAAAAATTTGCTGATACGGATCAAAATGGCTCTCAAGGGATCGACAGTTTTGAATGGAGATTTTGAATAAGTAGTACAGGAAATATAAGGTTTGACCTCAAACAAACAAAATTTTTTTCACCACAGTGCATTTCTATAATGTCCCTAAAATGACATACTAAAAGTCTTAAGAAATCCAGGTGGTGGAAATATGCATAATTTGCATCAATTCAAAATGGCCGCATATGTTAGGACTTTTGCATTGATTTGGTCATATTTCTCATACTAGGTAGATTTTGGAGGTAATTTAGACGACAGTTTTAGTCCTTATACATTGATTTACTCATTATTTTAGTCCTATGTAAATTTCAAGATCCCTATGTTTCCGAAATTTTCCAAATTCAGTATAATTTGCATAAATGCCTTATGTCAACTTGCCTACATTAAAGTTAAAATAATGGATGCCATATGTGGACATCTACCAATTGAATTTTCCCTGATAATCCAAGTCAAATTTCACAACACAGTGTGCATTGCTATAAGGTCCCTTATAAGTTGTTAAAAATCCAAGTGATGGAAATATGCCTAATTTGCATAAATTCAAAAGGTCGCTAATTACATTATTTTCATATGATTTGGCCATATAGTATAGGCTGTTATGTACTTTTGCATTTTTTTGGCTTTAAGAAGGAATTTTTGCCATACTTGGAAAGAGTTTACCTCCCTAAGTCGATCGGATGTGCATTGGAGACATTTTTCCCAGCTACCATTGGCAGCCATCTTGGATTTAAAAATGGCCGCCATTTCGAGCCTAATTTGTATCATGTAACTTCGGACCTGATTGTCACATAAAGTTCATTTTGATGGCAAACCCCATGTTTTTGATACAAAGGAACCCGAGTACTTTATTGTTTACGATGTACTCCAAATGGATGGCAGACATCTTGGATATTTCATAATTGCCGCCATTTTGAACTAACTTGAATGTTGTATGAAATCACTAATGGTGGCAAACCCCATAAATTTGATACCAAGGAATCCAATTAACACATTAAGGTATCCCAAATGGATGGCAGCCATATTGGATATTCAAAAATAGCGGCCATCTTGGATTTCATTTAAAGAATAAGGTGGCATCTGAATGTCGTATGAAGTCCATTTGGTGGCAAACTGCATGTTCTTGATACCAAAGATGCCAAGTTATAATCATTGTTGATGGGGTACTCCACTGGGAGTATACCCCATCAACAATGATTTTCTCGGGTTCCTTTGTATCAAAAACATAGGGTTTGCCATCAAAATGAACTTCATATGACAATCAGGTCCGAAGTTAGATACAAATTAGGCCCGAAATGGCGGCCATTATAAATTCCAACACGGCTGCCACATGGTAGATGGAAAAAAAAAATGCTACTAATGGATTTCCAGCTTAGGAAGGTAAACTCTATCCAAATATGAGAAAAATTCCTTCTTTAGCAAAGAAAAGTGCAATGGCCAAAAATTGGTTCATATTGGTTCATATTTATTTTATGGGGAAATTTCAGCTGAAAAGCCGAAATTGTTAGTTTTAGCGCCATCAACAAACAGTTTTCGAGCTACCGCCTAGGCAATTTTGGTCAAAATGGCACTGCCATTTTTTAAATGACCATATCTCTATAATTTGTGAGCCAAATTTGTTAATCTTGATTTCTTTTGAAAGGTTACATCATGAGAAATCCAAATTTACCATTGCTTTTCATGTCGGGGTTATTTGAAGTATAATGACATTTTGACCTTTGCTTTGACCTTGAATTTGATCTAGTGGATCACCCGACATTGAGACAAACTTGGATGAAAATTAAACCCCAACATATGTTTTCTACAAAATATCAAAAAATAGGGTACAATATTTTTTGTTTGGTTTTGGCTCATCTCAAAGTTGGCAAACGTGTTGCAAAATGTGATTTCCCTATGCAGTGTACTAGTGGATTTAAAGTAGGGATTTTTGTCCCTGAAATGAGTTCATGCACAGGGTGTCACAAGACTGCTGAAATTATTCCTTTTCATTTCTGATTTGATTTATTAATCACTAAATTTGTACGACTGTAAAGTGTTATGTAACTTCGGAGGTGGATGCTAGGTGAATTATGCTAATCATAATTCCTTCCCTTTGCATACCAATTCCGGGCTTGCACCCATGTGGGATGGGTATAAAACCCTCGCCCACGTATTTTCGAATTGAGTTTGCGGTTTTTGGTTATGTCTTTCCCGTAATATATAATTGGTTTTTGTGATTGATAAATCCTGTGTTGAATCATCTGTTCTCTTGAGTTATTCTTTGATTTTAAGTCTGAATAGAGCGGCGCAAGGGTTCGCTCTGCAACACAGGGATGTCACATTTTCCAACACTTATACCAACTTTGACAAGAGCTAGAAACCTAACAAAAAATATTATACCCCAAAGGAACATAGGATCTCAAAAGGTACCCAGGACTGGAATGATGATGAAATCAATGCCAAAGGACAAATGGTTGTTCAAAGTTCCCCAAAAAGCAATTCAGGACGAGAGTTATGGCCAAATCAGAAATCATGTAATTAGTTGCCATATTGAATTTATGCAAATTAGGCATATTTCCACCACTTGGATTTCTTCCCTTTTTTAAGGAACCTTATTATAGCAATACACCATGGTGTGAAATTTTTCTATGTACATGACTTAGATTATCAGGGAAAATTTAATTGTGACATGTCCACACGTGACAGCCATAATTTTAACTTTAATCCATGCAGATTAATAAATGGCATTTACGCAAATTATCGGCATAACGCATATTTCGGAAACAAGGATATTGAAAGTTACCACGGTCTAGAATAATGAGTAAATCAATGTAAAAGGATTAAAATTGTTGTTTAAAATATCTCAAAAGCTACCTAGTATATGAAATACGACCAAATCAGTGCGAAAGTCCTAAAATATCCGGCCACTTTGGATTTATGCAAATTAGGCATATTTCCACCACCTGGATTTCTTGAGACTTTTAGTATGTCATTTTAGGGACATTATAGAAATGCACTGTGGTAAAAAAAATCTGTTGCAATTTGTTTGAGGTTCGCCTGTACTAAAGTGGGACAGGAAGTTGTTTTCTGTCATGACTGGACAATTTCGTCCTTTGCTGTTGGAATGATGATTGCTAGTCAATGTCACGTTGAATGAAATCACACCTTGTGGTACATTTTGATTGAATAGCCGTCAGCCACTGCCAGCTGCCCATCTGATGTAAGAGTTATTGCACGTGGGTCATGTAGACCCTGAGCCAGGCAATCAAGAAACCTGCCATCTAGGTCATAGTGGTGAATATGACCAGTGCAATACTGCAGAAACGTATCTTGGTCCACTGCAAGGTAGATGCCTGTGCTGTCACAGCATACACCCATACAGTACTTCACTGGGTAGCCATTAATGGTTGGTTTGATGGTGAAGATTGTTGTACCTTTGCTATCAGCAACGTCTACTTTCTTTGTGCCAAGTCCACTGACCACAACTCTATCAGTGTCATTATCAGGAGCCAGGTAGCAAGGTGGATTTTGCACAGATATGGTCCGTAGGATCTCACCATTGGGTATGTGTTCAGTCCACACCATCCTCTTGAAATCACCCACTAAGATTGTACTATTATTGTCCTTGTCTTTGACAGCTACACTACGGAGGTCCACTTGTGTATTGTCAATACGACTCTTTTCCACTGTTGGGAACTGCATAACAAGAGTGTTGTCCTTCATGTTAAACGACTTCACATACTTGCTTCCATACTCCAACACAAGCAAGCGTTCCTCAGGATAGTGGATGGCTGCAACTGACCGTGGATCTGTGGGTAATAACAATAATAATAACAGTTATAAAAGCACAAATTTTGTAACATGCACATCCCCTGGAAGCAATCAAAGGTGCTGGTGTAGATGTAAAGAAAAAACCTCAGTTGTTTGAAAAAGCCAGCATAAAAAGATTTGTTTTAAGTTTCTGTGTAAAAGGTTTTATGCTTTCATGTGACCAACGGTTCCAAAGCTGAAGTAGTGCAACATTTGAAAATACTCTGACCAAGCTGTTGTAACCCAGTGGGCACACGACGTCTTTAACCCAAAAAGGGCCGAGGGCAGATCTGCCCCCCCTCAACTTTTTTTCGTGTTCCGAGCTGTCCTGACTTTTTAGCCTAGGGTCTTGTACATCTTTTGATACCAAAACATAAAATTCGGAACAGGTGTTGTCGCGCCGTGAAAACTGAATTTTCTCGTATATGTAGTGTACACAAAGCAAAATTACCATTGTTGCATATGCATAATTAATTGGCCGTAATTCCTAAACCCTTTGACCTCTGGTAATGGAATGTCTTGGGTTTGTTTATGTTTAGTTGTTCGATGCATGTACCGAGTTTCATAATTTTTTGTCTTTTGATGGCCGAGATCTTGGGGGCGCAGAATCCGCCCCACCACCCCCTGCTTTTTAAGTCTTGTTTTTTGTATTTATTTTGTGCTTAAATGCAACACCAAAAGACATCTTTTTCTGACAACAAAAAGGTCGTCTCTTTCTGACGACAAAATGTCTTATTTACTCCTAAATGACACCTTTTTTTTACTCCAAAAAGACATCTTTTTCCGACGACAAAAAGAAATCTTTTTCTGACGATAAAAATATGTCTATTTCTGACTACAAAACGTCTTTTTCTGACACCAAAAAGATATTTTTTTCTGATTACTTAAAGATGTCAATTTTTGGACATAAAATTATGACGTCTTGTTTTGGTCTTATTGTAGAGGCCATGGAAATTGGTCAACCCCTTTTTCAATTTTGCCCCCTCCCCTTTTATAATGTAATGGTCCAGACTTTGCTTTACCTCTTAAACTAATGGACTGATCCAAGAGTTGCCACATCAGCAAGGGACAGGGAGTTGGCTTCGTTGTTCTTACAAGCAATGACCCTGCCACTGCCAACATCTGCAATAAAGTTGTCCTGATGTATTGCTGTATTTTTGGCTGACGACTCTCCATTATTTCTTACAGGGTCACCAACTTCATCATTTTAATGTAACTTTCGTAAGTGCCACCTCTGTCAATTACACGGGTGTAACATTTGGAGGCACGAGAGGGATAGGCGTGTCGGACGAGAATTGCAGTAGACGAAATGCGTCTATCCAGTGAAACAAACCGAAACCAGTTGCGACAGTAAACAGCATCTAGACAGCCGACGGGACTGGCAAGTTGACTGGGTGTGCGAGACCAGGGTGTACCACCAGCGAGAGGAGGGATCGCCTCAAGCCGCTGACACGACTCAGCCCCCAGTGACGTGACCACGACCATCGTGCTGTCTATCAAGTGAACAACATGGATATCGTGGAAGATGTCGATAAGCTCAATGCCAGAATACGTGGCCTTTCCACTCAACAGCTCCAACAGTCTGCGAGCACCTGTGGCTGGAGACCGGATATACAGCGGAGTAAGTCAACGGTCATCAGAGGCTGGTGCAGAAAGTGATTAGTCACACATACGGTGATGAAGTCCTAGATCGCGCTGATGGAGGAATTGAGCTGCTCCAAGGACTGGACGAATTCATTGATGGAATTGCTGGCCCCAAGGTTGTTCCACATGAGGCAGCTGTCTCAGCCAAAAGTGCAAAGCCCGACTCTTCAGACGAACCTTTGCAAGCCCAGCCAGCCCCTTTGAAGTTGGTCCCCGCTAAATCCGAGCAACCAACCATGGGACCAGAAGTCCTGAGTCTAATGCGTCGTGAATTCAAAATTTCTGGACAGATCGGAGAACCCGGCCAGAATGACAGGCTGGCGCACCAAATTGAGGTTGGTTGTGAGAAGGGGTACCGGGACAATTACGTCGTCCAAGGTGTAATCCGAGCTATTGTGCCGGGAGCGGCGCGGCTGAGTTACCTGGAGGGACGCAGACAAATCACATTGCCGAGTCTTCGCTGCATTCTGAGATGCCATTACCAAGAGAGGGACGCCACGGCATTGTACAAAGAGCTGGCACAACTTGCCCAGGACCCAAAGGAGTCATCTCAGGCATTTCTCTTAAAGGCGCTTGACCTAAGACAGAAGGTCTTTGCCAGTCAAGAGGCAGAGTATGGGCTGTGTTACGACCCCACCCTCGTCAGGAGCGTCAGTATCAAAGCTGAGCTACGCCCTTATCTAGATAATCCAGATTTGACTGATGAAACTCTCTTTGAAAAGTTGAACGTTAGCTCGAGTTTTGAAGCAGAAAGGTGAAAGAAACTTCATCCCAAAAGGCCCGTCGCTGTCAACCAGCTTCAGGAGAACGAGCCTGCACCAAAATCTCAACCGAAGCCTGCTGACATCACAGATAGCAGAGTTACAGGCTGGGATGGCAGAGCTCACGGCCTTGAAAACACACGTCGCGGCCCTGAATGAAACGCTACAGACGGCCCCGACAAGACATCCCCAACGACGAGCCCCCTCACTCCGACCCTCCACTAGTCGCGGTTGCAGGAAGTGCCAAGTGCCAAGAAGATGGCACTGGCTCATCCTGTGACCACTGCTTAAAGTGTGGATCGCCAGACCATTTCGTACGTGGCTGTCGTCAAGGAAACACACAGCGTCGCAAGGGAAATGATGATGGGTTGCAATCACGGGACAGGGTGTTACCAGGTCTGTAACAATGTCCCAACCAATCTCACAGAATCCTGACCATAACAGAACTTTCATCTGTCACATTACCCCAAGACAACATCAGAAAGTGACAAACCTTATCGGTCCCAGATGTACCGTTGATTGCCTCCTGAACCGTTTGCCCACAACAGTATTATGGGATACTGGAGCCCAAGTTTCACTGATAAGTACTGATTGGCTTCAGGACAACCTACCCAGTACATCTGTCCGTCCACTTTCCAAACTTCTGGAACATGAGAGCAAGCTTGACCTACGAGCTGCTAATGGCACACAGATCCCGTTTGAAGGATGGGTAGAAATTGAGTTAAAGATGAATACACCACAGATGTGCCCTCCAGTAGCTTTCCCCGCTCTCGTCACCAAGAACCAGCTACAGCATCCCATCATAGGCTACACTGTGATCGAGATGGTTGTACAGCATTCCGGCAAAGATGCGAGCTGCATTCTTGGTGGTGCAATGAAGAACTTGTAACAGAGTAGAGCCGAAAAGTTAGTTCAACTCATCTAGACAAATGACCCGGAAGAAGTGTGCAGCATCAAATCGGGACGACAAGACATCGTAATACCCCACCAGAGCAGTGTCGGTGTGCGGTGTCGGACCCGTGCAGGACCACTAGACTGCAAGATTACAGGACTGTTCGAGCCAGATGTTGAACGTCAGTGGCCTGAAGGTCTTCAAGTTGAAGAGTCAGTAGTCAGTCTAACTCCAGGTACCGGTTGTCCCGTCATCATTCAAGTGATGAACACCACTGACAGAGACATCACCCTGAGACGACGGAGCCTGTTGGGCCATATTCAGCTGGTCCATTCTGTCTATCCGATAGAGCCATCCACTTTCAAGGAATGGACAACATCCCACCGCAACTGCCCCACAAACAGTGGAAAAGCTACAGTTTTGAGTATAACCAGTGATGACCAATGGATACCACCAGTTGACCTGAGTCACCTACTACCTTCCCAGAAGGCTGCAGTGGAGAAACTCCTCAAAGAAAATTCGGCAGCTTTTGCAAAGAATGACTCCGACCTTGATAGTGTTCCTGACCTAAAGATGAAGATCGACTTGAACGATACAACGCCAGTCCGAAAGACTTAAATATCCATGCCCTGCCCCCTGTACCAAGAGGTGCGCACATACTTGTCTGACCTCATCAGCCGTAACTGGATCGCCAAATCTACTTCACCCTACTCATCGCCGGTGGTTTGTGTCCGTAAGAAGGACGGAAGCCTGAGACTGTGCGTTGACTACGGGGAGCTGAATAGGAAAACTATTCCCGATCGTCAACCAGGGTCAAGGATGTGCTGGACAGCCTTTGGGGCAACTGCTGGTTCTCAACCCTTGACCAAGGGAAAGCCTACCACCAGGGTTTCATGTCTGAAGAGAGTCGCCCCCTCACAGCTTTCATCACTCCTTGGGGACTTTATGAGTGGGTCAGAATACCATTGGTCTCACCAATGCACCTGCAGTCTTTCAAAGATTTATGGAGACCTGCCTAGATGGTCTGAATGGAGAGATTGCCATGACGTAGCTAGATGATGTATTGGTCTTCAGCGACAACTTCCAGCATCATCTGGAACACCTACTTAAGGTCCTGCAGCCTATGCAGTTCCATGGTGTCAAGTTAAGACCAAACAAGTGCGAGCTGTTCCAGAGTGAGGTACACTTTCTTGGACGACTTGTATCAGCAGATGGCCATAGGTTAGATCCCTCTGATGTAGCTGCTGTCAATTCCCTCAGCGAAAAGAGACCAGAAACCGTAGGTTACCTTAGGAAGTTGCTAGGCCTACTTGAGTAAATCGCAGCAATATCCAGGACTTTTCTCGTATTGTGAGACCTCTTTACAATTTACTGAAGGTGGAACCGAGTTTTGAGCAGAGTAAGCAGAAGATGAAAACAGGACAAAGACCAATCTCAGAACGAGGCCAGTGCAAAAGCTCTCCAAACAGAAGATTGACTGGACGGATCGTCATCAACAGGTACTTGATAAGATCCTGGGTTGCCTAGTCTCTCCTCCAATCATGGCGTTCCCAGATTACAAGGAACCATTCATCGTCCACACCGATGCTTCATGTGAAGGGCTGGGTGCAGTGCTGTACCAGAGGCTACAACGCAAGATGCGTGTGATATCCTATGGTTCCCGTACCCGAGAAGAACTACCACTACCACTCGGGAAAGTTGGAGTTTC